AGACACATTGTAAAATCTCGGTGTCTTTGTCCTTGATTCATTCATGTCAGTGTCTGTGGAGCCTGTCTTTCTGAGAAACACAGGTTTACCTCAGGTCAGAACTGACTTGGCCTCAGACTACACTTTGCCTTTCTAGAATATTCCTGTTGAAGGAACCCTGTAATGAGAAACCTCACAAATGGGGGGTGGGGGGAGGAAAGAACATCTCTGGGGCTGGGATATTTGACAAAGTAGCTGCCCCTGAGAACATCAGAACTCCCACTGTCCTTGGAATTTCATTCTGTTTGGTGACATTTGGTGACCTCAGTAACGTGAAGGCCGGCCCCGGGTCCCGTTTCTGGGGTACAGAAACCTCTTCTCTGGGCCCTGGCATTTGGCATGACTGCACTTTGCTGGCTCTGGTTCTGGGAAGGCTTTCAGGGCAGTCACTACTTCTGTTCTGCTCTCGTCCCCAGTCCCCATCATCCCCAGCTACTTGTACAGCATTAAGCATGAGAAAAATGCTACAGAACTCCAGACTGCCAAGCCAGGACTCACATCCTCTACCACGGGCAGCTTCCAGAACATCTTTTCCTATTACGACAACTCCACCATGGTCACCGGGAACACCACCAGAGGCCCGCAGCTGGGGCAGCTGCCTAAGACCACCACACAACACATGGTGACCAACGCATCCACCACCCCTCCTGACTGCCCCAGGGAAGACAAAGACCTCTTGAATGAAAACGTGCAAGTGGGCCTGCTGTTCGCCTCTAAGGCCACGGTGCAGCTCCTCACCAACCCTTTCATAGGACTGCTGACCAACCGGTAGGTGGCCGTTTTGTGGTTGGAGAACTTTGTGTTTCTGTAGCTGCAGCTCATTCCCCCCGGGATTCGGCTTCTCATTGGGTATCAGAATCTGAACACTCAGTGGTGGGTGAGCCGGGGAACGCGTCTCCTTCCCTGATGTCTCTGCCTCAGTGGGTCGTGATTTCCTAGTTTGCTCCACCTTTTAATTCCTCCCTCTGTTACTTGAAAAGTAAGAAGATATTAAAGAAGACAGAAAAAAAGAGGCCCTCCCCAAATGGGAGAACTTGGTTTCATCTAAATGCTGAATGTCATAAATACCTTTGTCAAAGTAACCCTTGGGCAGTAAGAACTCTCCAGACGCCGTGGCTGTTACTGGATTTTACGTGCCATGTGGCTTTCCCTTCTGTTCCTTATAGAAAACCCTGTGGTTCTCTGTAGAGCTGTTGTGGTAAAGGCCCCATTACATGGCCAGGTGGAGGATGTTGGGGGAAAAAAAAACTCACTGCCATCGAGTCGATTTTGACTCATAGTGACCCCTCCTTGGGTTTCCGAGGCGGTATCACTACAGAAATAGATCGCCCAATCTTTCTTCCGAGGAGTGACTGGTGGGTTTGAACCACCAGCCTTCTGGTTAGCAGTCAAATCCTTCCTTAGGCACTACGCCACCAGAACTCCCAATGTTGGAAAAGATGGGTAACACTGGTGTGTAGAGGAACCTGTCACCTGATTCTGAGGTCAAGTGTAGGGTGACATTTCTTCCCTCCTGCCAGTCTCTCACCTGTGTCTGGCTGCACAGAAGACAGGCGGACTGAGGCCACGTCTGCATCCTTCAAACTCCCCAAAGGAGCTTTCTGTTAATCTGGATATTCTGAGTTTTTTTAAAATAAGTATTCACTTTCCCATCATTGGTGATGGGTATTTGTCCTCTACAGCTGAGATGGCCCAGCTCTGCCTGGTAAATGGGGGTTCAAAGCACAGGACAAGATGGAAGGTTGAGTTCCAAGGAGCTTGCAGTTGAGAGGAGGAGGCAGTCCCTGAAGATGTCACATCAAAGAGAAGGAGCTGGTGCTGCAGTGGGTGGTATGGGTTGTTGTGTAAACAGTGCAGCCCCAGTTGTAGAAATGCAAACAATAGAGAAAGCAAGCAAGCATGAGAGTCTTACCTGTGAGCTGGGTCCTGAGGCATGAACAGAGATCAAGATGAGGAACAGGAGAGAGAATGTGGGAGGGAGGAGAGGGAGGGGATGAACTGAGAGGGCAGGGCTGGGAGACTGAGGCTGGACTAGACTGTGGGAGGCCCCAGGTTAGATAGAGGGGTGGGGTTCTGCTGTCGGACACTTGGGTGCCACTAGAAGTTCCAATGCCAAGTTGAAGAATCAAGTGAGCCAAGTGTGACTTTGAGTGGGCCCACCCTGCGTCCTGGGCAGGCTGGGAACCGGGGTGAGGAGGTGGGGGTGTCTTTACATTAACCCAGGTTTGTTGTGGGGAGTGGGTAACAGGACTGGTTACATAATTTGAGGGGCCTAGTTCAAAATGGAAAATGAAGCCCCTTGTTCAAATATTAGGAGCTCTGGTGGTGTAGTGCCTAAGTCATTTGACTGCTGACCAGAAGGCGGGTGGTTCAAACCCACCAACCACTCCTCGGAAGGAAGGTTGGACAGTCTACTTCTGTAGTGAGACTGTCTTGGAAACCCAAGGAGGGGTTGCTATGGTTTGGATTCAGCTCCACAGCAGTGCGTGGCGTTTGTTGTTCTGTTCAAATATTATTAAGAATTATTAGATATTATTAAAAATTTCAAAACGGCAACAGCAGAGCATGAAACCAAATGCAGGGCTCTGTGTGACTTCACAGGTTGCACGTTCATGAGCTGGCCCTCAGGACTTGGGGAGGTAGCAGGGTTTAGAGAGGCCCAGCATACATGAGTTGTCCTCAAACACATGGAGGTCACTGCTGACCCAGCCAGGGTCAGTAGAATGGGAGTACATTTTAAACTTCTGCAATTTGATTTTCTGAACTATTACCCATTTTAACATTGTAACTCCTTCAACAATCCCAAGCCATGCCTAGCCCTCGTGTCTGTGTGGAGCAGTATTATCAGGTAGCAGCATAAAATATGCTAAACAAATTAGCCCAGCGTTGGGGCTGTGAGCCCATCAAGAAGCAACATTACCATGTGGCATTCGGGGCTTCTCCAACCTCCATATTATTGTTGTTATGTGCCCTCAAGTCGGAGACCCTGACTTGGGTTTTTGAGGTGGTATCACTATGGAGGTAGATTGCCCAACCTTCCTTCCGAGGAGTGGCTGGTGAGTTTGAACCAACAGCCTTCTGATTAGCAGTCATGTGCCTTAAGCACTACGCTGAGTTCCCTCCAGGAGGAAAACCAAACAGACCTCAGCGGTTGCAGGGATGTTTTCTTTTTCAAGTCGTAGAGCCCTCTTTAAAGTGCATCTGGTATAATTACAGAAAACGGCTCAGGGTTTTGTATTCCCAGAAAGCAAACAGCTCAACTACTACTTGCGGAAAATTGAGGACATTATCATAATAATGCCTTGCCAATCGCTGGGGCGTGAATGTTACTAGCAGGGCAGGGTAATACTTAGAAACTTGGCTGAAATGATGGGACTATGCCAATCTTCCAAATGCAAATGGAAAATGAAAAGCTTTTTAAAAATCTCATTCTTGTTCTCAACACTTTGCTTAGGTCACAGGCAAGTAGCTTGTTTAAAACTAGTGAGGTCTTTGCCCTGTTAAATACTCCAAAGGCTTTGACAGGGCAGCCACCCAAGGCTTATGTTTGAGCCTCCAAAAAACTGTGTTCCAGGAGAAACCTAATTTTGCTTTGTCACCTGTGACATTTGATCTGTCCTTACGGTGCGTAATCCACTTTGGAAATGACCTAGAGCAAAAATGTAACCCTCAATTTTAGTCTTCTAACGCTGCTTGGTAATGTAGAAATGCACATAGATTTTAGCGGGTGCAGGCAAAACAGTTGCTCTGTTTCCCCGATAGATTTGTCATTTTCTGGTATTTTCCTACCACGTAGAAATGAATTTGGGGGTTTTCAGCCCTTCTGGGTGCCCCACAGGCCCACTTCCCTCCACAGTTCGGATGAAAAGAGCAGCAGAGGAGGGACAAATACTTGCCTTTCCAGAGTCTTCCCTGTGAGCCATTGCAAACGGCCTTTTGACGTAATTTGTTCCAATCATGTGCTCTACTACCAAGAAGATAAAGTGAAGAACAGCATCATGTACCACTTAGTTTACTGTGCTATAAACAAATGTGTTGAAATGGCATTTTAAAGCCAGTTAACGTGCGTTTCGGGGTACGCTGGAGCGTTAGAGCTGGAAGAGAATTTAACAGGCTTTGGGGCCAGTCCTAGTATCTTACAGGCAAAGGATTTTGCAGCTCAGGGAGGAAGGAGCCCTTGCCTGGCAGTGACTGGGCTAGTCAGTGGCCAGACCCTCCTGCCGGCTTTCAGACTATCCTTCTTGCCTTCCTGTTCTGTCTGCCTGCTTGCTGTTGTATAGCTTGTGCTCTCGTTGATTTGCATGCAACTCATAGTGACCCTGTGGACAAGAGAATGAAACACTGTCCGGTCCTGCGCCGTCCCCCAAATCATTGCTGTGCTTGAGCCCACTGTTGCAGCCACTGTGTCAATCTGTCTCACTGAGGGTCTTCCTCTTTTTTGCTGACACTCTAAGTTACCGAGCACCATGTCCTCTGGACTGGTCCCCCCTGAGAGCATGTCTAAAGTTCATGACACAAAGCCTCGCCATCCTTGTTTCTAAAGAGCATTCTGGCTGCACCTCTTCGGAGACAAATTTGTCCACTCTTCTGGCAGTCCGGGGTAGATTCAGTATTCGTTGCTATCACCATAATTCAAAGGCATAGATGTGCAGGTGACATCTGTCTTTCCTGTGGCTGTCTGGGCTCTCCCTGCTTGTACCCAGCTGAGTGGTCAACAGCCCCAGCACTGAGTGTCGATTGTACTCTTTAATCCGTGGGCAGGAATGGGGAAAAAATCAGCCTAATCTCTGAACGTAGATCTACCCCTCCAACCCCGCAGGGTGACCTGGTCCAGCTTCCTGACATCTCACGGTGCTTCGGGCAGGGTGAGGAAGGAGTGCGTGTTAGGTGCCTTGTAGTCCAAGAGATACCTGGGCTGACCGCCTAGAGGCAGGCTGTTTGGAGGCTTGCTGACTTAAAACTTACTGCCTTAAATGAGTCAGACCCTGAAAGGAGATACCTCTTATCACAACCTGGACCCCTGTAATCACGGTCATGGTGCTGCTGCGTGAGTGGCTTTCGTGAGGGTATGATACAAATAGTGCCTTTTAGATATTAGAGGCTCTCATGCAAAACGCTGAAAATACACAATAGCAATTCCTGGGAAGAACGTTAAGTGTTCATGCGGCTGATAATACAGTACAGAGCCCTCCTGGTTGGTCACTCTTCAGGTTCCTGTATTTTTACTGGAAAAGACCGTGATCAGATAGGGAGCAGGGCGATTCATGTGCTCTGTGATCAGTAACAGCAATCAACACGCTTCGTGTGATGGCCCCTTAGCTGACGCTGAGGCTCATGAGACTTTCTTTATGATTCCACCTTAACTCTGTACAATTGCCGTTGCATGGTAAAGGTGGTGGGGTTGTATTAGCAACGACTGTTATCATGTGGCCCCATAAGTGAATTTTACACATACGTACGTAGAAGGAATGTTTCAGGCAGGCGAACAGTGTGAAAACACCTTTGAATTTCTTTTCTCTCTTCCATACATCAGGTTAAGGATGTGGCATGGTGTTCTTGGCTTGCTTTGCCTGAGGTTTAAATAGTTGCATCTTTGGGGCCAAAGATACTCCGCGCACCAGCTGGTGGGGGTGGGGAAAGGGTTAACTCGCAGCGCTGGGGCCATCTCCCTCTGCTGTCTCTGAAGCTTGTCATTGTCTCAATGGTCTGCTTTTTATCAAGCCTGAATCAGTGGCTTAATTTATTTCCATAGTTACCTAGTATATTTGAAAGCCAATTATATCCCCCCACAAATCTTAGCTAGCATCTGAAGGATGAGGAGGAAGCCACAGGGCATGAGGGCCCTACATAGTCTACTGTGGTTATTTTGTCTCTCGCTTTAGCCACTTGGGTCTGCAGTAGGCTCTGCAGAAATGAGCAGTGACCTTTTCATTCCCTGTGTGGACACGGAAACCAGCTGTTCTGGGCAGGGATTTCCCGTCCTAGACGTCGTTAGCATGGCGGGCAGGGCACGACAGAGCCTTCTCGTCTGAAATCAGAAGACGCTGGCAGCGGAATTAGAGCATGTCTCAGGGGAGCAGTGTGTCAGGGAACGGGTTGCACCCACCACGGTACAAAACCCATGGCCCTGTGCACTACTGATAGCTGCAAAAGACAGACGTGTGCATTTTATTTATTTGGCAATAAAATCCCACTTACGTCCTAGCACATTTAAAGTATCATTCCGTTTACTGGTACTCAGCCTTTTCTCAACATAAAGTGTTGAGCAAATTGAAAAAGCAAATGTCATTTCCTGTCTTTTCTGGCAATACTTAGTTGTGTATATTGTCAAGTCGATTCCGACTCCTGTCAACCGTAGTGGAGCGAGCAGAACTCCCAAAGGGCTTCCTAGGCTGAAATCTTTAGGGACATGTTGCCAGGTCTTTCCTCCTACGGGGCGGCTGGTGGCTGGCCTTTGGATCGGCAGGCCAGCGTTTAATCGATGCACCACCCTGACTCTGCATCAGTGCTTTCGTCATTTATCACCGCAGATGGGACTGGGACCTCAGCTAGCTGAGAATGGCTCTTGCATTAGTCTCTATGGCAAAGAGATACTAGTCATTAGCATTAGAGAAAATGTATTGATCCCCAGAGACAGTTTAAGATGTGGGGTTTCCACCCTGACTCTTGAGTATGTGCGTAAGGCGGAAACCTGTGGGAGAAGGAAAATGCAGATATTTTCCACTGATGGGATAGAAAAGTGGTAAGACTGTACCCTGCCAAAGGTAAAAAACTCATGAGACCTAAACAAGTAAGGCAGCCCCATCGAATTCTGGCTCTCACAGATTCCACTGTATAATTCACCCAATTTCTTTCATTGTTATTGTCCTGAAACTACGCAGGCCTTCTGCCTGCAATCTGCGAGAAACCACAGCTGTTTTACTTGGTACAGAATCCAGAGATACCCTGGGACCAGGGCTCCATATTAGAGGCTTGATAAATATCCACAGTGAGGAATTAGTAACAAAAGAGGTAAGCCCTTAATTCCAACAATGTTGACACATATTAGCGCTTCACTTACTAGATTTTGCTGGGGCTTCAGTGTGTAATTTCTAGTCCTATTGGAGTGACTTAGCTGCTCCTTGATGGTCTTTAGAGGATGACTGTGGGCCAGGGTGACTCACGAGGCAGTGATACTGGGACATTTGGTCACAGCTTTACCTCATGAGACCTAGCTCCGATGAGCAATACTTTAATTGAGATAGCATTGAATTGAGACGAATGGGTCTAATGAGACGTTTATGACTAATGGTGTTCCATTTCTGCCATTTAGGAGGCATTGTGGGGAGGCAAAAAGGGCCTAGCATTCTGCCCGTCACTTACTGACCCTCGGGCACTGAGCAGCCCTCCTCAGGTGGGCGAGTGGGGGCCAGGAGAGTTTGAGGGTGGAGGCCTAGGTGCTTTTGAGTGGCCTTTCCCATGGGGTTGAGCTCTGTGGGTTTGGCAGCTTGACCAGTGTTGAGAATGCAGGGTGGACGTGAGTTCCGGTGGTGAAGAGGAAGCAGTGTGAGCCCAGTGGTCTCCACAGCGATGGCTTCTCTGTGACATTAGCTGAGCCACTCCATCCCTGAATCTCTTGCTCTCATCAAAGATGAGGGGTTTAGCTGGCCTGTCTTCAAGTTTCCTTCCGGCTTTGCCATTTGGTTGTTCTAAACATGGTTTGTCAAAATCCTAAAGCAATTAACAAACAGTACCTCCAGTGCTTCTAAATGAAATACAGCCTTGGGAAAAAGAGTCCTTCATAAGCACACAGCCATGTGGCTGTGGAACCATCTGGTTTTCAATGGGACTGAACCTTCCGTTTCACTCACCCAGTGGGAAGGTCTGTGCCTGTGACTGGCTTCCTCACCAGATTGTAAGCCAGCAGGACTTCAGACCCCAGACACTCAAGATGTGCCCAAGGCCCTGAACTTTGGGCAAGTTACTTAACTTCCCTGAGCCTGAGTGTCATCATCTCGTCATCTGAAAAAATAAGAAAACCAACTACTTCATGGACTTGTGAGAGTCATATGTAACTGTGTCCATCAGTTCCCTCCTCATGGCCAAGGAGAATTCTGGAGTCTTCTGGTGAGAAGCAGCCTTAGTGGCTTCAGCCCACTTGTACTGGGCTTGGCCGAGTTCCCCAACCATTGACCAGTGTGCAGACTGGGATTAGCACTGCTGGCCGCTTGAGCACCACAGATAAGGATTGTCATTGATCAGTGAATATTGTCCTGAAACTACGCAGGCCTTCCGCCTGCAGTCTGCAAGAGACCACAGCTGTTTTATTTGGTACAGAATCCAGGGATGCCATTGGGCCAGGGCTCCATATTAGAGGCTTGATAAATATCCAAAATAAGGAATTAGTGACAGAAGAAGTAAGCCTTTAATTCCAACAACATTGACACATATTAGCGCGTCAATTGCTAGATTTTCCAAGTATGATGTTGAAAGGGCTGAGAGGCTTATATTTGTTCCAGGGCAGTCTGAAGTAACAGGTGTCTTCTTTTAGGAGATGCATTACAGTAATTCAGAAGAACAGGTCTTGAAGGTCCTCACCTCTGAGTCTCCTGGAAGTTTCCAGCAGTGCAGGGTGGGAGCACAGATCAGTCAGCTTGGGGCTGGTTGGGATGGGAGAAGCAGCCACTTGAAAACTGCAGTTCGGAACCTGCTATCTTTCGTTTACTCTTTGAGCCCACTTTTGTGAATTATAAGCTCATCTTAGTCCACAGTAGAGGAAGCTTTGCATGGGTTCATGGCAGGGAGACTGCCTGGGTATCTGCTGTGGTTTTGAGATGCTTTTTGTATTTTTTTGGTATTTGGTTTTTGGATGTAATTTGGTGCATGGAGTAATTATTAAAAAATAAATGAATAAAAGGACTATGACAAGGAGAACTTTTGAAAAGGTCCTATTTAAAGCACATATATGGTCTTTGGCTGCCTGGGAAGGTGGTAAAGTTTCCCAGGAAAAGCCCTGGCCTGGTGGGAATGGCCCCAGTGAAGTTAACCCTTTGATGTTTGATGATAAGTACCTCAGTTTCCTCATCTGTAAAATGGGGAGGTGATTGTCCTTAGCAAATCATTGTGCTGGGAGCGGTAGTGCTTGGAGAATGGAGTGTGTGCGGCATTGACGTGAAAGTGCTGTTAGTGTGACTTCCAGGCTGAGTGACAGCAACCGTGGACACCTCAGCCCTTGTGCTGTTCCTCTCCAGGTTCTTGAGGGTCTAGGGCTAGGGGGAGAAGAGGTCTGGAGATGCGCGGGGCTGCTCAGGGTTGGAGCGGGCCTATTGTAGGACAGGTGCTCTACTAGTCAGGGTAGGGGCCGGGTGGCTGCCTGCTCACTCTTACCTGTACAGCAGGAATGAGGTGGTCCACTTCAGCCAGCAGAGTCAGAGAGGAAGGAGGGGAGAGAATAGGGAGAAAACACCATTTCTGAAGCGTCTCTTATGTTCTGGAGTCCCTGGGGGTGCAAACGGTTAGTGTACTCAGCTGCTAATGGAAAGGTTGGAGGTTCGAGTCCATCCAGAGGCACCTTGGAAGAAAGGCTGGGGAGCCACTTCTGAAAAAGCAGCTGTTGGCACCATGGGGTCACCAAGAAAACAAGGAATCAACCCGGTGACAACTGAGTTTGTGCTAAGTTCCAGGCACCGTGGTAGGGAGCTCCAGCTCCGTCTCTCCTTTTATACTCGTTCCATCCCTGGGAGATGGTGGTGGCCCCTGCACAGGGCTGAGGGGAGACTTGCCTCTACTAAATGGTGATGCCAGGTTTCCAACCAGGTGTGTGGTGCAGAAAGCCAGGTCTTCCCACCACCCCTTGAAGGCCTGGTGGCAGAGCCCTGCCTGGGCAGTGGTCTCATGGAATAATTAGGGATTTGAATTGTTGGACAGAAAATGAGGCCTCTCTTGTAAGCTGGCATCTTGGGGTCAACACGAAGGTAGGCTTTAAAGTCTTGCTTCCTCTTAGCTGCTGTGCGGTTGCCTCTGATGCCAGTGGGGCCGCTTGATGCCTTTTTACCAGAATCGTTTGATTGCAGCGGTCCCTTTGGGAAAAGCTCTAGCAAAGACTAAAAATAATTTACCAAGTGACTGTGGAAGGGACCGTGTATTTTGGACGTGCTCTGGGTTACTTGCCAATATTGTGTTAACATTTATTCTAGAGAGTTTTCTCTTCCGAGCGGCAATCCATAAATGTATTCATGTTCCAAGACAGTCAAACAAAAAAAAGGTCATGCAGGATGCACCAAGTATATGAATTTTCAGAAAAGTTGACCGAACACTTACCCGCCTAATCCCAGAGGGTCGGCAGGAGAGAATTAATATCGAGCCTTGAAAAAACACCCAGCAGTGACCAGACTTTCCTCGGTTGTTTTGCAGCATCGGCTATCCAATTCCAATGTTTGCGGGATTCTGCATCATGTTTCTCTCAACAATTAGTAAGTGTCTGATGTTTGCCTTCTGGGTGGAGGTCCATATGGGCCCTGCCAGCCAGGAGCCGGGGATCAGGAAGACAGCCTGGGTGTTTTCATATGGTAAAAACTACAGAAAGGAGTCAATGGAGGGAGGTCTGAACAGAGCGAAAGCACACTGTGGTTTAGGCTGAGAACTCTCCATGGCTCGGGGAGGGCGCCAGAACTTGTCCTGTGGGAAGCGGTTGCTCGTGGCATCCCGGGTTGGCCCTGGTGCAGTCTGCTGTTTTCCCGCAGTGTTCGCCTTCTCCAGCACCTACGCGTTGCTGTTGATCGCCAGGTCCCTGCAGGGCATCGGGTCCTCCTGCTCGTCTGTGGCTGGTAGGTGGGGCGACCCCGAGGAAACCCGGGACCCCAGGGGGCTTTGCTCTGTCAGAGGCGGCCACCAGCATGGCCTGGGTTGGCCAATCTCTTTAAAAAAAAAAATTAGTTGGAATATTTCAGGAATCAAGGTATTGCTGGGGTGTGGGGAGGCGCTCTGGGAGAAGGTACCCACAGTCCTCTTGGAAATCTGCTAGGTCTTACATTTCAGTCAACTTGACAGGTTCAAGAAGGAGTCTCGGAGTATCCCTGCATCCCCAGAGTTGGCTTGACGGTTTCTCTTCCTGTTTAGGGATGGGCATGCTTGCCAGCGTGTACACCGATGACCAGGAGAGAGGCAACGCCATGGGGATTGCCCTGGGAGGCCTGGCCATGGGGGTCTTAGGTGGGTAAGATCACTGTGGAGGAGAACGTGGGGAGTGGGCTGTGTCGGACCCCGGGGACCCTAGTCACACTGAGGCTGAGTCCACATTCACACTGACAGATGCCCCAGCTCCCTTCTTCTTTAGTTCCTACTTCCCTGGAGGCTTTGAGGAAGGGGGAAAAGTGCCCCGATCTGGAGCAACCTGGGCTGGGTGACCTCCAGCAAACCTCAGACCTCCGTGGACCCAGGGGTATAACAAGGAGCTTCAACGGGATGGGCCGCTGAGGTCATTTCATCTCTAATGTTTCATGTGTTCTGATTGGAGAGAACCTCTGGTCGACTGTTGCTATCTGCACCCCACACCCCCCAGCTCTACTGTGGGCCTCCCACTCCCAACCCCCACAAAAAAAACTATTGCCATAGAGATGATTCTGACTCATAGCAGCCCTATAGGACAGAGTGGAACTGCTCCATGTTGTTGTTGTTATGTGCCATGGAGTCGGACCCAACTCATAGCGACCCCTCCTTGGGTTTCCGAGGCAGTATCGCTATGGAAGTAGATTGCCCAACCTTCCTTCTGAGGAGTGGCTGGTGGGTTTGAACCTCCAGCCTCTGGTTAGCAGTCAAGTGCCTTAGGCACTACGCTGCCAGAGCTCCTTGAACTGCCCCATAGAGGCTGTAAATCTTCACGGAAGCCGACTGCTTCATCTTTCTAACATGGAGTGACTGGTGGATTCGAGCAGCCTGCCTTTTGGTCAGCAGCCACATGCTTTCACCACTGCACCACCAGAGCTCCTTGGGACCTCCCACACGAGGGGACAGACATCTTCCTGGAGAGGAGATACCCATCCCTTCCCTTTGTCCTTTACGTCCTGGCCGTTGTGGAGCCTGCAGTTGCCATGTGTTCCGGTGTAGAATGAGCCCTAGTGATACAATAGGAGCCTTGGTGACACAGCGGTTAAAGCACTTGGCAGTCTGAACCCACCAGCAGCTCTGCAGGAGACAGATGAGGCAGTCTGCTTCTGTAAAGATTACAGCCTTGGAAACCCTATGTGGCAGTTCTACTCTGTCTTATAGGGGTGTTAGGAGTTGTAATCAACTCGATGGCGATGGATTTTTTACAGGTGGTGCAATGGTTAAGAGCTGCTAACCGAAATGTCAGCAGTTTGAACCCACCAGCCACTCCCTGGGAGAAGAGACTTGGTGATTTGCTTCCATAAAGGTTTCAGTCTAGGAGACCCTTGGGGCGGTTACTCTGCCGTACAGGGTCACTGTGAGTCGGTCGACTTGCAGCACACAATAGCAATGACATATTACCCGTAGGGACCCAGCAGTGCTGCACCCCAGATCTTGTTTCTCTCTGACCTTTATGTTCAGGGTCATCCTTACCGACTCTGGCCCATTTCTCTGGTGTAAAAGCCACTTGGAGGAAATTTCCAGGCAACTTAACACAAACTAAAGAGAATATAAGGGAACTGCCCCAGATTGCTTTTGGGACTAAGCTGGAATAGAAACATAAGAAGCAAATAGATGGTTCTAGAACCATTGGGTCAATCCTGGAGGCTGCCACCGGGGTGGTTACCCAATAAGCAAGGTAAGCATTGGCTTATTTGTGCTTATTAACTAATCTGTAGTCAGGTTTCACACGGGTTTTCACCTAAGTTTTACCGTATCTTTGAAACTGTTTACTACAGACTAGTAGACAAGCACAAGTAAGCCTGTGCTTACCTTGATGCTGGCTGGCACCAACCCCCTTTCTCTTCCTTGCAGTGGGCCCCACCTTTGGGAGTGTGCTTTACGAATTTGTGGGGAAGACAGCGCCGTTCCTGGTGCTGGCCACCTTGGTGCTCTTGGATGGAGGTGAGCAAATCCACGTGGCCATGGCTGTGGCGCGTGCAACAGGCACGCTCGGGCCACACCTGCTTTCTGAAAGGGCACTGTCCTTTTCCTTGTAGCTATTCAGATCTTTGTGCTCCAACCGTCCCGGGTGCAGCCAGAGGTAAGCAGCTGGGGGAATGAGGCCTTGTGGCGCCCGCTGGGCTACACTAACCTTCTTTTCTGCTTGACAGAGTCAGAAGGGGACTCCGATAATCACCCTGCTGAGGGACCCATACATCCTCATTGCCGCAGGTGGGCTCAGGTGCTCTTGCCAGTCACGGGCACTGTGTGACTGGCCGTGTGCTGGGGGCAGGGACTAGCCTTCAGTTTGCTGCTGACTGTCTTGAGCTGTAGTCACACAGGAGAGGCAGAGAGACTACAGGGCACAGGCAGTGGTCTTCCTTCATTAATTTCTGACACTCAGCCAAGCTCATTTTTTGCTTTCCATTTGGGGCAAATGAGAAGGGTATGTGCTCAGCTTTACAGAGATGTCATGGGGTGACATCTGGGTCATGGGTTCACCCTGCTACAGGGGTTTGTTTGGGGCCACGTTTCCTTGCTGTGTTTGACAAAGGCCAGCATTGTTTGTTCAGTTCTCTGGAGGGAGCCGTGGCCTCCCTGCAGGCATCTTGGGTGGGCAGGCTAATTTACCTGGGTGTGTAGGCATAGACTGACAGCAGAGTCCTGGAGCGCCAAGAGGCCCTCCTCTTCTCATGGGGAGACCAGGTCCTTATGGTGCTCCACAGAGGCCTGCCCAGAAACGCCCTTTGCTGAAGAAGCCCATGCTTCCGGGTTCTTGACTTAGATGAGCTAAAAAGATGCCCTGAGGTCCTGCGGCTTGCAGGAAGGATAACGGGCCGCAGTCATTTAAGGGGCTTTGCCCCCCAAGACGATCCCAACGGCAGAGGCCACCCCCATGGCCTGGCATCACCTGCCAGGCTTGATGGCTGAGCCTTATGCTGTCTGGACCTGGTTCCTGCTGACAGGGGTGGCCTTTGGGGTCAGGCCAGGAGAGACTAGTCCAGAGTGTGGATCAGACCTGCCCTGTTTCTCTCTGGTGAAGTTTCCATTTGTCTAAGCTGCTTCACAGATACTGGGCAGGCTTGGGGGGGGGGGCATATGAGCCAGGCACATGCCCCACCTGGGGGCATCCCAGTTCAGCCCTTTTCAAACTCCAGGTTGGTTTTGTTTCACCATCATCTGCCGTATTTGGTCAGGCCAGCCTGTCTGTATAGCTCCTGGTTAGTCCCTGTTCATCTGGCTGTTGGCCAAAGGCTTATAAATCTGGTTTGCTGACCTTTTCACACAGGGAGAGTTCTCTCTTTGCCCCTATCAAGGTGCAGTGAGCATTGCAGAGCCCAGATGCTCCTGGTTGTCTGGGTGGGGATGGGGAGGGCGGGGTGAGAGCTGTGACCCCAAGATGTGACTCGCGGCCCCTGGGGCAGACATCTGGGCAGATCCATGCAGCCTGGGCCCCTCTCCTTCTGGCTTTCTTGGCCCCTCACTGTCAAGCTCCTAGAGTCTCTGGTGGGCAAATAGTCAATGAGATTAGCTGCTAACTGAAAGGCTGAGGTTCTAGTCCATCAGAGGCACGTTGGAAGGAGCTGGCAGTTTACATCCAATCAGCCATTGAACCCTAGGGAGCACAGGTCTCTGACACACGTTGAGTGGCCATGAATTGGAAAGTGATTGGACAGCACTTGGCCTTTTGTCTAGCCCCTGCTCATGGAAGGAAGCAGAAAAACCCATCCAGCACTAAATGCCAGTGCTGCCAAGGCTCCGACTCTGACTTGAGGAGGGAGTCGAGGGCAGGCTGGGTCGGGGAGTCCAATCATTTCAGCCTCATTTCTGTGTTCCACCTTTAAATGTCACAAAGAATGAAAAAGTCTGCCTTCGTTAGGTGAGCACCTTAGTCATGCTTACACAATGTTCTTTGAATTGGGATTCTAGAAAATTACAGGTTCTAAGGGGGTACACCACAAGAAGCAGCTCTCAGAATGACGAGGGACAGTTCTAATGTCTTTTTCCAGGTGGTTCTGCATTAAAAAGAGCTCTTGATTCACAGAGTGATCAGGAAGGTCAGCACAGATCCCTATCGATGTAGCTGATTTTTGGAGGAAAAAAAAGAAACAAACCCTCAACAGCATGATTGTATAGAACGCACTGGATCCTTCTTGGGTTTTCTGTCACCCAAAGCATCATTACAAAGATCTCTGTTCATTGGACATTAAGAGATGGATGCAAGAGCCTCAGGTTGTCTGAGTCTGTGTGTGTTTTCAGGGTGCCTCTGCCTGAGTGGCCTTAAGCAAGTTACTTCGTTATTAGATTAGAAGCCCCTTCATTACTAAGTTAGGAATGTTAAACCAAATGATCTCTAAGCTTCCTAAGATCCAGCTTTTATGACTGTGGGATTCCATTTGTTTAAGATCATCAACAGCTCTCCGCAGGAGAAGAAGTTCTGGGTGTGTGAAGTGACTGTTTTGGCTGTGGGCACATGAGGTCTGTTTAGAAAATATGGGGTGTATTCAAGACCCAAGGGGAAGTGTGCTCACCTTCTTTCTCCCTTCCAGGGTCCATCTGCTTTGCAAACATGGCGATTGCCATGCTGGAGCCAGCCTTGCCCATCTGGATGATGGAGACCATGTGTTCCCAGAAGTGGCAGCTGGGTAAGGACTGGGCTGTGCTCTTCTGATTCTGAAACCTGTACCCCCAGGGAGGGTCCCATCAGCGCAGCTCTGCTGAGCTGTGGTACCAGAATATTAAAGTGACTGCTTCTCTTTGACACCTAATGGAGTCAGGGCTCAGGGCAGCAGTGAGCTTCAGGGTCTGGTTTTGTGTCATCCCTGAGGGGTGCAGAATGAATGTAGAGACATCAGACCTGGGCAGAAATGAGACAGAACAGATACATCCAGCACCTCGCACGTCCCTGACCTGGACTGTTGTTGTTGTTATATGCCATCAAGTCGGACCTGACTCATAGCAACCCCTTCTTGGGTTTCCGAGGCAGTATCACTACGGAAATAGATTGCCTCATCTTCCTTCTGAGGAGTGGCTGGTGGGTTTGAACCTCGAGCCTTCTAGTTAGCAGTCAAGTGCCTTAGGCACTACGCTACCAGAGCTCCCACTGACCTGGACTAGCTCTACTAAATATACTTGTATAGCCATATAGTTTATGTGAGAGAGGCTAGCAACAAATTTAGCTTTTTAGAGCATGAACTTTGACACCTATTTTTAAATGAGAAAAGGAATATACATAGTTATTAAAAAATAAAAAAAAATTGAAGAAGTACAAATCTGAAACTCCCTATGCATCCTTCCCCTCCCCCAGCCCACTCTGATACCCATTGTTAAGAGTTCTGTATATCTTTTTCCATATGGTTCTGCATTTATCAACGTATGTGTGAAATGCTTAAAAACCCCACCCAAGTTGAATCTTATTATTTATATTACCGTGAGACCTCTTTTTCCTTCACAAGATATTGTTTCCATGTGAAAATTATTTAAATTTTATCAAAGTTACACATGCATATAATTATTAAAATTATAGAAAAACAATAGTCTCTGCCTTGTGTCTCCCCCCTCCACCATCCCCCTCCTCAGACTTGCCCACCTTCAACTTTGTTGTGTTTCTTCTGCTGGTTTTCTCTAAACTTCTAAATAATGTGCACACACTCTGTTTTTTGATTTTCCAATTTCTGACACTGTCCACTGGTGTCCCAATGAAGTAGATGAGAATTTAATACCGTTGTTGCTCCGTCTGAAAAAAATCAACCAACCAATCAACACATTTTCTCACCTTCTGACCTCCTGATAAAATTGTATCATAGTTTTTTAGATCGGCATTCAGTACTGTTGTGACTATGTAAATATTATTCATGGCTGAGCTATGTTATAATTAACATAGCTAAGTTATAATTATAATATTAATTATAATATTAATACAAATTAATTAGGTGTGATAATTAATTTCCTTTCTTTTTCACAGATGTTTGTTTTTCCTAGAGTTAGTAATTGCTTCACCTTTTCATTTTCTTAGTTTTCTATATAGCAGTTATGAATGTTGTTGTTGTCAGGTGTTGTTGTGTCAGTTCCAACTCACAGTGACCCTGTGTGTAACAGAACAAAACACTGCCCAGTCCTGTGCCGTCCTCCCAATTGTTGGTGTGTTTGAGTCCATTGTTGTATCCTCTGTGTCAGTCCACCTCATTGAGAGTCTTACCCTTTTTCACCGACCCTCTACTTTACCAAGTGTGATGTCCTTCTCCAGAGACTGGTTCCTCCTGAGAACATGTCCAAAGTACATGAAATGAAGTCGTACCATCTTCACTTCTAAGGAGCAACTGGCTGTACTTCTTCCAAGACCGATTTATTCATTCTTCTGGCAGTCCATGGGATAGCCAATATTCTTTGCTAACACCAGAACTTAATGTATCAATTCTTTGGTCTTCCTTATTCATTGTCCACCATTCATCTGTCAGTTTGTCACATGGTAATGCCTTGTGTGATGCTGGAAGCTATGTCACCGGTATTTCAATACCAGCAGGGTCACTCATGGTGGACAGGTTTCAGTGGAGATTTCAGATGAAGACAGACTAGGAAGAAAGACCTGGTTACCTACTTATAAAAAAATTGACCAGTGAAAACCTTCAAAGTAGCAGCATTTATGAATGTATCTCCCAAACTCTCTGGCAGAGATGAAACCCACTGCCATTGAGTTGATTCTGACTCATGGTGACCCCATAGGACTGAGGAGAACTGCCCCCTAGGGTTTCCGAGGCTGTAAATATTTACGGAAGCAGACTGCCTCATCTTTCTTCTGTGAAGCAGCCGGTGGGTGCAAACCTCTGATCTTTTGGTTAGCAGCCAAGCGCCTTCACCATTGTTCCACCAGGACTCCTGGAGAGAGGAAGAGCCCTCTAAATTTGGTCAAGTACTTTAGAAAACTGAACTTTTCTCTGTGTCTGGCTGTTTCTGGACGTCTGCCCTAGATCACTCTGTCGTCCTGCTCCAGTCTGGACTTGTTGCTCTGCAGGCCACCCTGGGACTTTCTCCCCACTGTCCGGCATCGTCTCTGCCCTCCCCTCTCCCTGTATCCCTCTCTCCTGTGTTCCTCTTCCTTCGTTCACTGCCTCATTATGACGGAGCACATCCCCCAGCAGCCTGTAGCAGCTCAGGTCCTCTGAGACCCTGCACATCTGCAAACGTCTCCATCCTCACTTAGCACTTGGCTGACTTACTTAGTTTTGGCATATAATCCTTGGTTGAAAATCATTTTCCTTTAGAAGTTTGAGCCACTGCTTTCCCATCTTCTGGCACCTGGGGTTGCTGCTACGGAGGCCAGTGTCGTCCTCACTCCCATCCTCTAGGAGCTCCTAGCTCTTTGTCTTCTGCTCTGGTTGGTGAACACTCACCGTGGTGATTTCACTGTGGGATTCCTTTCCTCCACTGTGTTGGGCACTTGCTTGGTTGGCCCTTGCACTTGGGAAACCCCATCCTTTAATGTTTATTGTCCATATGTATTTCCTTTATTGTGAATTTCTTCTGAATAGGCTTCTTCCTTTTTTTCCCTGTGGAGTTGTTTGTCCTTTGCTTATTGATTTGTGTCCTTTGCATATTAAGGTACTTCTTTCCCAAATGTTTTGCTCCCATTTCCCCCACTTTGTTGTTTGCCTTTTGACTTACTGATGGTATTATTTGTCACTCAGAGCATTTAAAATACCAGTTGTCCGATGCAGCATCTTCCTCTTGTGATCTCAAGTCAAACCCAGAAAGGCCTTACCCAGGCTAAGATTATTTTCTTTTAATTCATCCATGCTTTCTTCTGATAAATTTATGGCTTTTTTTTTTTTAACATTTTTTTACAATTCCAGTCTATATGGAATTTAGTGTTATTTTTTTTTTTTCACGAAGGCCTGCCAATAGACCATTTGTCAAGCAGACCATCTTTTGTTCCCACTGACTTGCAATGCCACCTTCATCATAAACTAAATTTCCAGATGTTCTGGGATCTATTTCTGGATTTTCTCTTCTGTTCCTTGATCTGCTTGTCATTTCTCTGTCAATACCCTCCTACTTAATAACTGTAAATTTAGAATATTGTTTAATATCTGGAAGGACTGGTCCCCCACATACACATTTATGTTGTATCCTTCCTAGAGACTTTTTTTTTAGAAAGTCTTTCAATTTACATACCACTGTCTTCAGATTGAAGGCGCTCTGGTGGCGCAGTGCCTAAGGCATTTGACTGCTAACCAGAAGGTTGGCAGTTCAAACCAGCTACTCTGCAGAAGGAAGATGGGGCAATCTACTTATGTCAAAACTTACCACCTCGGAAACCCAGTGGGGATCACTGCGAGTTGGAATCAGCTCAGTGGCAGTGAGTTTGGTGTTTTGGTTTATCTTCAGATTGAGACTCTGAGGTCAGAATGAAGCTGGCCTTTTCGTTGTGCCCGGCTTTCCCTCCGTCACCTCATTTCCCCCCCGGCCTCCCGCCCGCTGTGGTGTCTGCCAGCTGCTGCATCCCCTCCTGGCGTCGGCTGTTCCTGGTGTTTTCTGCCTCACTGCAGCTGGCCTGGCTCGAACACCACGCCCCTTGGGCTCTGTGTTGTTCTTTAATCCAACAATCCTTCCTTAAAACAAGCCCCAAATGTCTGGGCATGGTGTGAGGAGTAACTGCTCAGGGAGTGTCTTTTTGGAATGATGAGGATGTCCTGGAGTTAGATAGTGGTGACAGTTGCACAACCTTGTGACTGGACTGGAGGCCACAACCATACACTTGAAAAGAGTGAATTGTATGGTATGTGAATTATAGCAGTAAACAAAAGCAAACAGAACAACAAGGGCCATTCAGTGCAGATGGGGGATGCTGGGAGCTCGACTCAGGATAGTTTCTTAGGTAGGAAACTGAGCTCTGAACATCCTGTCAGTCAAGGTGGAAGAAAAAAAGCACCACCAAGCCAGAGGGACGGATTCTTCTAACACTGAATCCGTGGGTAGATGTTTGCAAAGATGGGCAAACGTTCTCCCGTGTTGTTGCAAGTAGCCACTGTTGATGTTTGTGGAAGCCACCCTTCCAGGTTTTCCCCCACTGTGGTCCCTGTGGTGTGGTTTTCCTTGACTCTGATCCCCGTGGTGTGTTGGGTCCAGGTGGGTCACACGCTGCTGCGTCAAGCTCACTGCTTTCATCTGAACGTGCTCTCTGGCCAAGATGCTCTTTAGATGTTTCTGATGCCGCCAATTAAATGACTTATGGTCCTAATTGGATGTGTCCTGGCCATGTGCAGGGCAGATTAGCAGGTTTGCTCTCTTCCTCTCCAGACAAAGCCTTGAGGCTTTCTTTATAGAGTCTCTTGAGCCAGTCAGAAAGCTCTGGGTCACTGGGCTAGATAGCCCACCGTGGGCGGTCTAGATTCTATCAGGAGATGATCAGCTGGGGCTTATCGCTGGGGCCAGATGCTCGCCTGCCCGGGCCGGCTCATTGCCAGCAGTGAGGTTTCCTTCTTCCTGCTTCAGAGTTGAGCTTTCACGTCTCCCTGTTTCCTGTGTCAGCTGCAGCGTGAGGGAAAACACCCCACCTTACTTGGGCCTCTGCAGCTTGCGGCCCATGCTGCCAGAGAAAGGGTGCCTGGGTGACAGTGCAGGGGACCCAGCACCCACGAGCCCTTCT